TGTTGTAGGCGGCCGCGGCGCCGGGCGCCAGGGGCGCCGGATGCGCCATCAGGTTGCGGCACTGGTTAGCTGCGGCCGCCGCGGCCGCTGCGGCCGCCGCTGCCACCGAGAAGTTGCCCCCCGCGGCCGCAGCCGCCGGGTGGGGGAAGCCCCCGCCCCCGGCCCCGGCCGCCGCCGCCGCCGCCGCCGCTGCCGCCGCCGCCGCCGCCCCTTCCATGTTCTTGTTGAGTTCGTCGGCCACCAAGCCACCGCCGTTGTCGTAGAGAAACATGACGGTGGGCTCGATCCAGCGGGGGTGGAGGAGCACGGAGGCTGTCATAGCCCGAGCCGCATGGAGAAGACCCCAGTGGCGCTGTTTTAAAAAGCCCCCAAGAAGTGAAGAGCGCGCGGCGCGGGGCCGGGGCCCGAGCGAGGGGGGCGGATCGCGCCCCGCGGGGTCGCGCCAGGCGGCCGCCCATTGGCCCGCCCCCATCCCGCTCCGCCCACGGCGTATGCAAAGCGGGCGGCTCCAACCCGGGTTCTGCGCTGTGCACCCGCGGTCCCCGCCGCCGCCCGCGCGGTCCCCAGCGCCAGCGCCAGCGCCCGCCGCGCGGCCGCGAACCATTCACCCAGGGGAGAGGCGGGGGACGCGGGCGAGTGGGGGCGGAAGACGGCGGGTGGGGTAGGGAAAGAAGGGCGGCCTCCTCGCAGCTCCCCCTTCCCTTCCTCTGTCCCAGTGGGGCCCAGGGCAGAATTAGGCGGGGAGGGGACGGCGGCGCGCTGTTGCGTGGAGACCTGAAGCAGTGGGAGTAGGTCAGGTAAATCGGCGGGCGGCTAGGGATGGGATAGTAGCGGAAATGGGGCGTAGTCCAGGCTGCATGTTTCTTGGGGCCTTTGAAGCTGTTTTCTTTCCAGGTATCCGCGAGTCTTTCCGCAGTGGGACCGTAGCGTGTACACTAGCGCTTTCGGCTTCGAGAGCGTCAAGATTTGACTCCCTCCAGGGGATCGTGGCGGTGCATTTGCGGATGCGCCTGGCTCATGGGTCCCAGGACGTTCCCCTGGAAAGCTTGGACTGTGTTTAGGAGCGCTCTCCGCTTTCCTGTCTACAGTGCTGGCGGGCAATTTCATACACTTGCGCTTAGGCCCATAGGGTGTCAGAAAGACCCCCTCACACCCACACTGACATACGCACTCATATTCAAGTGTACTCTGATCAGACGCTCACACTTAGGTATAGAGACTGTGTCACACTCTGCCCTGATAACAGCTCTTCCTTCTCCAGAGACTTGGGAGCAATCTGTGCGCAGTATTCTCTGGTGCTCCTGCATCTCCAGCCAGGCTGTCCTGTCCTGGAAGTTTAAAAGGAACAGCCCCGGGTGCTGATTGGGACTCCCTTTCTAGGGCCTAATGGCTTCATAGATCTTGGGCTGGAGCCCGTTCTTCAGGCACCTGGACACTCCCTATTTCACTTCATTTTGGAACAGGAGAAGGGGGCTTGATGGAGCTATTTCATGCCTTCCACCCAAGGAGAACTGGGGAGAGCATTGTCTCCAGCCTGCAGAGGGTGCCCAGTCCTCCCTCTGTCCAAGAACCAGCCAGAGAAGTCTTTCCTCTGTATCTGGAAAATGCAGACCCTTTCGTGAGAACACGGTGGGGTGTTGGTGGTGGAAGAGCCAAGCAGCCATCATTTCTTGGTGGGGGATTCTGAGGGTCCTGTTGCTTTGGGGTTACATACTTCCATTACTGATTGTGGAGGCTGTGAGCTGATCAAACATCCAGAAGGGGAACAAACGTTCAAAGTGAAAGTGGGTGTATTCTACAGGAATGTCAGGTTTGGGGAGAGCGCTGGACTCCCTTTCATCCCAGAGCATTGGGATGGGCATCAGAAGTGTGGACTTGCCATCCCCTTCTAGCTTGCAGACTCAGCCAGAAGTTCAGAGTGTTGCAAATGTCCCCAGCCCCAATTCCCTGCCCTGATCTGCTCCCTAAGGCTCCTGGTTTTCCTGCAGAGCCCAGACCAATGAGGCTGGGCTCCAGCTTTTATCTGCCTTAATCCTTGGGTTTGCGGGGACCAATGTTTAAGTGCTGCCCAAAAATAAAGCCTTCTATGACACCCCCCTCCCATCATACATGTACGCAGTGTACCTTTTCCATCCTGCCTTTTTAGTAGCTCCGGGTAAATATTGATCTGCCTCCAGTTTACCTCCTCCCTGAATGGCCATTTGCAGACTAAGGAACTAGCCTCTGTAGGGACTTGATTTTTGTGTTACTTTCCGGCCCTGTTCTCCCCCCTTCCTTCCTCCAAGTGGCATTGTAAAACTCACAGTGACAAAGAGACAGGATAGGGTTCGAGGCCCCAGTTCCTGAGGACTTGAGGGCTGTTTTACATACGGGTCAGACACGGCTAGAGGCCAAGGTCAAGTTGAAAGTTGCAGTCTAGCCTGTGTGAGAACTGCCATGCAAGCGGGGAGATTCAGGGAGCTGCCGCAAGGCCCACTGCTCACCTTCCTTCTCTCACTCTTGACTCTTTTTTCTTTGGAATTACTCTTTCTTTCTCTGTTTGGTTACCCAGTTTTTTTCCCGCCTTGCTTTTGTGAAGATTTTGGGGCCGTGTTTACAGACTCTTCTTCTCTGCCTCCACCCTGCTCTCTTGGCCCCGGCTTCAAGCCTCTTCTGTTTTCCAGCCAGACCCAGAAAAACGAAAACACAGCACAGGGAGCCCCCACCAGCCGGCGCCCGTGCCAGCTCACCTCTGGCCATGGCGCAGCTGCTGGTGCACACAGCGGCCAAGGCCAGCTCCACATTCCTCCCTCCCTCTCCCCACTTCACCGGAGACCGAGCCCTGGATGCAGAGGAAGGGCCCCAGCTCCACGGACTGCCAAAGTCGACTGGGTCCCCTCCTCACCAAAAATGGTGAGACAAGATTTCATCTTGTCTGCTGAGAAGCAACAAGCAGGTTTGTCTGGGAGGGACTGGCGCTGTGGGAAGTTTTTGGTTTGCATCTCGAATTAGGTTTTGCTCCCGAAACTTTTCGGCTCCTGAATTATTTATTGAGCTTTGTGGTAGATCTTTAGCGATCAAGTATTTGGATATTTACTTAGTTCCCCATATCTTTCTATCAACTTATAAACACTTTTAAGTCATGGTTACTTAGAGAGAGGCAGCCTGCTTGTTCCCTTTTTTGTCTTCGATCTCGATATACATATATATATATATATACATATATATATATACATATATACATATAAATATATATATATATAAATAATGGTACATATGTATATATATATATATATGCAATGATTTTTTTTTTTAAACCAAGCAAGTCAATGGCGTCCTGGTGTGCTTTCATTGTTTTTAAATCTGCAGGTCCTGTTAGATGTCGGGTTGTAGCCACCGACCAGTGGGGATAGTTTCTAGAATTTGAATGAGTTCTGTGAATAATTTAGTCTTAGTTTCTAGAATTTCTACTCACTTTGAAGCAAGAAAATCTCTCTCCCTTCGTGTCCTTTGGCCAGGGAAATATGAGATTCATTAATGGTTCCTAATACTATTTCTTTACCTCTTAGCTCTTCCAGATAGCCACCAAACTGGTTTTCTGTGGGAAAAGAAATGTTGGAGGGCAGGGAAGAAGTGTGTGGTGAAGGGGTGTGCCTTGGAAGCAAGCACAGATTCTCCTAATGTTCTTCCTCTTTTCCTAAAGGCGAGATCAAGACTCACTTGCCTGCGGAGCTCGTTGGGTCTGACCCTCTGAAGCCATCTCTCTGCTTTTTTTGCCTGTCAGGCTCATGGATTCCGATAGCCCTACAGGGAGGCACCATCAACCTGAATCCTGGAGATGGCAATTTTATTCTCAGAGTCTTTGCGGGCTAGGCTGGGGACGTCAGGGTACCCACTGGGATCTGCATCTGCAGGCGCAGTAGCCATTGAGCAACAGGGCGGCAGGAGTAGAGTTAGGCTCTGTCTGGGGCTCCCTGATTTCTTCCGGAGGAGCCCTGAGTGGGCAGCATGGGCAAGATCAGGGGACGGCATCTTAGTGGTTTAGCCTTTGTTCCAGGAGCTGCCAGACCCCTTCCCTTGCCAGGTCCTTGGCAGGCATGGCTTCTAACCTCCTAGTGCAGGCCAGGGTGCCCTGCGGGGTTTTGGCTGCCCTGGAACCTCCTGCTGAAGAAAGAGACCTTGGCTGTGTTTTTTTGGGGCGGTGGGGGTATTCGCGGCCAGCTTGGGTCACAGAGCCCTGGGCTTTCAGGGCTGGACAAGAAAAGGACAAAAGGAAACCAGGTTTTAATCGAGTTTGATTTTCACTAGCAAATGAAATTTACCTGCTCTCACTTTAACTTGGAGGAGGCTGTCAGCACTAGTCCCTGGCACTGTTTCTCTGCATCCATCCAGCATTAGGATAAACATTCCTCCCCTGGTTTTAAAGACACTTTGTATTTCAGGATATTCATGTGTTTCTAATGTATCCAAGCAGCTTTACGAGCTGCATTTGCAGAACATCTTAACCCTCTCTCTCCCACCGCAGGAGGGGTGGGGGGCATGGGAGATAATGGCAAATGAAGAAAGATCCAAAGTGGGGAGTGGAAATGGCTGAGGAGCTGAGGCTGGCTAAGAGAGAAAGAGAACAAGAGAGAAGGAAAAACACCCAAACCAAATCGTATCTCAGAATCTGTGGTTGACCAGACGGCTTAGAAAAGAGACAAGTGGGGCTGTTCTGTTCGTGGTGGGCTTTGGGGCTTGCCCAACAGGGCAGAAGCTTAAGGAGGAAGGGTAGGTTCTGAAGAAACTTAGCTAGCCAGTAGGCAGACAAATGGTGCCTCCAGAGTCACTTGCTCAAGCTCTCACTCCATATTTTTGTGCATTTGAAGCATTAATGAGGCAGCAAAAGACCCAAGGCTGTAGGGATAGTTTTGGACTATGGGAAGTAACCTGGTACTGGTGATGACCAATGCTGACACGGAGAAAATTGGAGAAAGTGCAAGGTCCAGAAAAAAACACATAGACTCCACCTTGCCTTTAAGATCTCACCCCAGTGAGCTTTGATGAGGGCAAGTTTTTGGAGGAACAGCGCTCCTCCTGCCTCAGGTGGGTTCCTTCCAGCCCCTGGCCTTCAAGGCCACCAGGGCACAGTGCCTGGCAAAAGCAGAAGCCCGGGGAGGACCCCATTCATAGCTCTGCCCTGCAGTGTTTCCCCCAGAAAGTCCCCAAACAGGAAAGTCTCCCTCCCCCTTTAGAACAACCAGTCCCAGGTCCCAGCCTCCCTGGAGGAGCAATTGCCTCTGCACAGTGCCAGCCATCAGAGCCCAGACTCCCCACGGTTGGCGCAAACTTGGAGCGAAG